TTTCCTTTCTCTTTTAAGCAAACTTACTTTGTTCTTTTAGCCATTTCACACAAGCCTTACATGTAAATATAACATTTTTATCTCTGCCAAACCCTGATGCATAAAAGGAAACCCAAGAATGGACAATTTCTCACACTAGGTGTTTTTTTTACTTCTTATTTAGTAAAGCGTCAAAGGTCAGTATTTCTCGGGGGTCTTTAAAAAGAATATAACAGCACAAATTTATTTTCTCACAGTCTGGAGGCTAGAAGCGTGAGATCAAGGCGTTGGCAGTGTTGGTTTCTTCTGGAGGCTTCTCTCCACAGTGTGTAGATGGTCACCTTTACACGGCCTTCCCTGTGCGTGTGCACATGTCTGTGCCCAAATTCACTCTTCTTATAAGACCACCAGTCATATTGAATTAGGGCCCACCTTATAAACCTCATTTGGACTTAACTACCTTTATTTGAAAACCGTATTTTCAAGTATGATTACATTCTGAGGTACTGTAGGCTAGAACTTTAACAATATGAATTTTGGTGGGGACAAAATTTAGCCCACAATGCTTCACCTTCTGCACCCCCAATCCATAGTCTTTTCATATGCAAAATACATGCACCCCATCCTGACAGCCCAAAGGTCTTAACCTATTCCAGCATCAACTCTAAGTCCAAAATCTCATCTAGGGCCGGCCCGTGGCTCACGTGGGAGAGTGCGGTGCTGATAACACCAAGGCCCCGGGTTCGGATCCCACATAGGGATGGCCGGTTTGCTCACTGGCTGAGCGTGGTGCTGACAACACCAAGTCAAGGGTTAAGATCCCCTTACCGGTCATCTTTAAAAAAAGAAAAACGAATGAAATACTGCCATTTGCAACAACATGGATGGACCTTGAGAGAATAATATTGAGTGAAACGAGTCAGGCAGAGAAAAAGAAATACCACATGTTCTCACTTATTGGTGGGAGCTAAAAAAATAAACAAATTAATTTACCCACAAACACACACAAAAAAAACTGGGGGTGGGGGGTGGGGAAGAAGATATAACAACCATACTTTTTTTTTTGAAGTTGTTACAACAAGCAAACGGAAAGGACATTCTTGGGGGGGATGGGAGAGAGGGAGGAGGGCGGGAGGTGTCGGTGATGGGCCATAATAATCATATACATTGTATATTGACAAAATAAAAATTAAAAAAAAAAAAAAAAGAAAAAAACAAAATCTCATCTAAATATCACCTAAGTCAGGCATAGGTGAGACTCGAGGTATGTTTCATCCTGAGGCAAAATTCTTCTCCAGCTGCAAACCTATGAAACCAGATAAGTTGTCTATTTCCAAAATACAATGGTGGGACAGGAGTAGGACAGATATTCCAGTTCTAAAAGATAGAAATCAGAAAGGAGTTGAGTGTTCCCAACACAAAGAGGTGACAAGTGTTTGAGGTGATGGGCTGAGCATCCTGATAAGATCATTGCACAGAGTATGAATGTACCCAATATCATATTGTACTCCATAAATGTATGCAATGTTCATGGGTCAATTAAGAAAAAAATAAAAGAAACAATAATAGTAAAAGAGAAATAGGAGATGAATGGTTCCTAGAGGCAGGGAAGGAGAAGGGAAGGGTGCTTCAGGGACAGGTTGGCAGACTGGTAGAAAGTGACTAAGTTCCAGTCAGATAGGAAGGATAGGTCCTGGTGCTCCAGGGTGACAATAACTCATAACATTGTAATGTATATGTCAAGACAGTCAGAGAAGTGGATCTTGAAAGGTGAAGTCACAAAGAAATGAGAAGTGTTTAGGTGACAGATATGGTAACTATTCTGATTGGACCATCATACAATATATGCATGTGTTGAAACAGCAAACTGTGTCCCGTAAACATGTACTATCAAAAATTAAATAAATTAAGGAGAGAAAGAAATGGGAAAGAAGAAGGGAGTCATGGGTCCCAAGCAATCCAAAGGCAAATTTCACTAGATTTTAAGGCTCGAGTACAATCTTAGTCTCAATGCTCTGTCCTCCTGGCCCACTGGGGCAGCAGAGGCTCTGACCTGCTAGAGGTCTCTTGAAGCATTTAATTTTTTTCTTCTGTGGGTCACCATCCCAGATATATTTGAACAATAGAATTTTGGAAAAATGGATTCTTTAACTCCATGCATTAGACATTTTCATTGGTCTAGAGCCCAAAAGTATAAACACGATTAATCTTTCAACACAGGGGGCCTTACAATGTCTGACAGCAAAGTCCTTCTCTCTCTGTTTTCTAGTTCAGCCATGCCTGTACACATTTCTTTCTTCAGGATAGTTCCCTATGCCAACTCACCGGTGGGGTTAGCCCTGAAATGACCCTCCTAACTTCTGTCCTCCTTTCCCAAGTCAATCACCGCTTGTGAGTCTGGCAGGAGTCGCTGCTTAACCTGGTTGCTGTTTGTAGATGGATACCTGTCTGTCCCTGCCCCCCATGACAAATTCTGAGAGAGAGTCTGAACGGCCTCACGTAAGTCAGATGACCGTTCCTGGCCTAATCAACTTCCTCCAAGTGCCTGCAGCCCACGTGAGTACCATGCAAAGAGACTCCCTAGCAAGGGCACGTGAGAAGTTCTCTGAGTGGTGAGCAATTAAAGTTGATAAATTCAAACGCAACTTCATCTCAACCGTTAGCACCCTCTGGTAAGCACAAGAATGGCCTCCACGTGTTCTGGTAGATTTGGAAGCCGGAGCATTTCCTTTTACCTTTCCTCATGATAGATGGAATGCTGCTGAAAGCAGTTTCATTCAGGAGAGAAAAGTTGGACCTGTTGTTGTCTTCCATGGCCTTGAAGGTGCTATTCTTGAGGACTAAGTCCAGCTCTTCTGGTTCTAACTTCTTCTCCAGGAATTGACAGATCTTCTCTACAGTGCTTCTTTTGTCCTAAAAGAAGAAGAAACAAGAGAGAGGATATGAGAGAGACAGCAGAGAAAAGGAGATGAGAAGGACGGAGCTGCAGACTGAAGGGGAGGAAAGGGGAAAAGAAGAGAACGCGCGGGAGCCAGGAGGGGCCGAGCAGAAGGCGGCCAGGAGAAGAGAGGAAAAGGCGAAGGAGAGAGAGCACAAGGGACGGAAAAGGTTCGCGGGTAAACGTGGATTCCCCACTGTGGAGTTTTTTTTAGCACATCCTAACAGTAAAAGGCAGGGCCTGGGGTTTCTAAAGAAACTGTTAGAAAGGCTTCTAGACAATGATCAGGATTAAGCAAGGAGAGGTTCAGGGAGAACTCGACAAAAATTTAAGGGTTGATTTCAAATCCTGTCTGTGCTATCGAATAATAGTTTCCCATAACTAACATTTGAATAACACATACGGTATTACAATATCGTATATATTGTCAGTAATTAGTACTTGGTGCTTAATCCTGGGAGATTATAATATGAAAATGTATTTTTATAACCAGGAAGATTTTGCTTCATCATAGACCTTTGTCTTAGAAATATAACACTTTAAAGTGCTTTTTAATTTCATGAGTCCCGGTTACTAACAAGACATACAACTGGGGAAATAACTACAATAAAAGTTCATTGTGTGATACAAAAGGAAAATTACAAGAAGCTGTGGGAGCATGTCCCTGAGGTAACTAAACTAGTTACAAAGGGCCTCTTGGTAAAAAATAGAATTTATGCTGAGGTCATAGATGACTGGATGGAAGTAGGCAGAGGAAGGTGATAGGAAGTGATGTTTCTCAGGTAGAAGCAAAAGCCTGTGTTTATGTTACTTTTTCTTTTCTCTAAGATGCCACGAATAAGTCAAGTTCTCTCTCCAATGGTCTAATCACCTAGACTGGATCTGAGCTTTATTTAACAGCTTTTTCTGTCCAACACTGGTCACTTCATTACTTGGCCTCTGAGAATATTTGTACAGATTGATTTCATGCCTTCACTTCTCTTCTGTCACTCAAGCTGAGATGTCAGTCAGTTGGACATGTCTCTGGAACTAAGCTGTCTCTACCCAGTTCCATTTTCTTCCCCAGTTCCCTCCCATCACTAGGTTATCAGCAGCATCACATGTACACAGAAATTTTTACAACCACCAGTGTGAGCATAAGCCATTGTATTCCTCCCCAATGCATGGAAAAAACCCTTTAGATGTTGGAAAATGGAATAAAGAAAAATGTGAAGAAAGAGCACGAACTTGGGAAGGGTCAATCAGAAGTAGAGCAATAAAGACCAAGGAGCTAACCTCACTCTTCATGACTCTCCATGGGGCTAAACTTTGGCTGAGAAGGTGGAATGGAGGCGCAGAGGAATGGAGGAAGTTAGAGGAGATGAAGACGGTGGTGAGAGGGTGCGTGCTGACTGTAAGAACAATTGTTACCTTGCTCAGCTCTTCGTAACTCAGCATCAGGAAGTTTCCCTTCTCTCTCATTGGTATCCAGCCATGCACATGGTCAAACCATGATCCGTATATCACTGCACAGGACGGAGGCAGAGACAGTGGCAGGTTACAAACTCTCTTCCCACTCAGCTCGACTGAGGTAGAATTGATGAATAAAACTCACGTATTTACAGTGACAACATGATGCTTTGATAGATGTCTATTTCATTGTAAAATGATGAAATCAAGCTAATTAACATACTCCTTGCCTCACATACTGATCATCTTTTTGGTGGTGAGAGCATTTAAGACCTACTCTCTTCGCAGTATTTGAGCATTTAGTACAATATGATTGACTATTAGTCACCGTGCTGTGCAGTAGGTCTCCAGAACTCATTCATCTTATCTACCAGAAACTTTGTACCCTCTGACCAGTATTTCCCTATCCCGCTCTTCACCTCCGACTCCCGTCAACCTTCATTCTGCTCTCTGCTTCTACGAGTTCACCTTTTTGTTATAAGAGAACTAGTATAAGTTATACTTTAGGAATAAATAAAGTGAATCCAGAAGAAAGGAACAACGCCAACCTCTGCCTCCCCCTCTTAAATTCAGATTTAAGCAGGTAGATCTGAATAAGTATTGGTTAGAAGAATCAATGGTTGTGTTATGTTTATTTTGAGGACATTTAAAAACATATTTAGGGCCGGCCCCGTGGTGCACTCGGGAGAGTGCGGCGCTGGGAGCACAGAGACGCTCCTGCCGCGGGTTCAGATCCTATATAGGAATGGCCAGTGCACTCACTGGCTGAGCACGGTGCAGGCGACACCACACCAAGGTTTGCGATCCCCTTACCGGTCACAAAAAAGACAAAAAAACCCCACACTTAAATAGTACACTAGGCCAGGGTTGGCACCCTACAACTTGTAAGCCAAATCCAGACTGCT